CTTGATTTCGTTGTCATATCGTACGGGTTGAGCTTTTGGCAAGTGGACTACTTCAAGTTTAATGCAACGTCTTGAGATGCCCATCAAAAGCTCGAGTTAACAACTTTTCTTAAAAATCCGTTTGTTGGACATACGCGTGGCTTGTTTGTTTATAAGGAAAATAAACTTTTAGTAAATGATACTTGGCCGCGCAAATACTGTGCAATTAAAGCTCAAATATTCCATCAGTTCTCAATATTGTGTTTCGATTTGATTTTCATTAAACTTGCAAGTTTTTTGGAATGACCATTTTTCATCTTACTTTAGAAACACAGGATAAAAAGGCCTCTAGCACACCCCCAATATGTAGGTCAGTGTTACGCAGTCGTTGTGTGATCGCTTCATATACTTATATTTCGATATAAATAAATCAACGATCATCTTGTACCGTACTTCTTTCCGAATAAAATATAACTAACTCGATGCAACAAATAAAAAAAAATTTATCCAAAAAAGTTAAAGCTCATCAGAGAGTACATTCATGCTTGAAATGATTTATTCGATATTTGTTTCATTATCTCATCAAGATAATTATTGAGTACTCCGACGGCTAAGCGTACAATCAGTGTAAGTAATAATCTCACGTAGTAATTTTCCTTCAAAACGCTTCACGGCTCTATACCGTAATAGCCATACGCGTACACCCATCAATCAGCTGATCATCGCGACCGCAACCGACTTAATAGCTAACATTTTTCACTTTTATTGCACATAACACTATACACCCGCCACTTTTATCCGCAAAACGATGACACCTCACTGTCAGCGCTCATTTAAATCGAAACCATTCACCTGCAGAATGTTTATTCTGTTTTTCTTCTCTCGCAAGCTTCTCTGGCAAATCGCATCACAAAAAGCTCGTCAAAACATCAATGCAAGCCACATCGACTGCAAGAATATAGTAAAGGCCGTTATAGAAGCGCGCCCATATATGCCCATTACGCGTGCATGTACGACAGGTACCGTTAAACCCGGGACGTGCCGGGGTTTTAATTCGACACACTTTTTCATAAGTACTACCGCCTTTGTACTTGTAATTATCGAGCATCCTCTTGTTTTGGGTCACGGGGCGCATGTTAACGAGATTTTCGGCCGCTGGGCTTCGAGGAGTCACACCAGGAGACGCTCTATGAATGAACATATTCAAAGCAGTCCTGTAAGTGTGGATTAAGCTTGAGATTGGAGATACCATTGTAAGCATCATACGTGATACCGCTGCTGCCGAAAAAATAAATATTGAACGGCTCGAGCTCGTATAATATACCTATGAGATATATATATATTACTTTAATTATGGTTCTTCAACACACAATTGCAAAGTAATAACTTCATTCGTCGATAAACTGCCCCAATGATCGCAAAGAAATAGCTCACACTGGAGCTACGCACAGTAGAGAAAACAAGTGAGTATATGTAAATATAATACTTGAAGTGTACAGACAGACACCTGTTATACCCTACAGAGCCGATCTCGCCCGTACAACACCGTACTTGCGCGTCCGCAGGTTTTATCCCGCGGACCTTTTTTTTTCTCTCTCTCTCTCTCTCTCTTTTCATTCGCAATAACTGCACTCGCGCTTTTCCAGCGAAGCGCGTAAAAGCCAGCGTTGCTCGGGGAATCGATGGACCTTCCTCCTCCTTCTCTCCTCCCGCAGCATCTTTACGACCGCGCCACGTGGCTCGTACAGGTGTACCGGTCCCCAAAGCGAGAGCTTGATGGGCATCCCCGACCGTGAGTCTGCGCTCGTAAAATAGAAGCGCGCGCGCGTGCCCTCGCATACGCATCGCGTGATATTCATCTATCGCTTCCGCCCCGTTGTACACCTCCGTGTATGTATTGTATACGCGAGCGCGTGGATCTGAGTGAATGAACGACGGGTTACGCGTGCTGTTGATATTATGTTGTCGGTGTAGCGCTGCGTGGGATCGGATGTACACTCAACTCACCAGGATTTTGTGCAATCGAAGAGCTTGACCGACGAGGAAAACTGTACTTGTGGGATTTCTGTGTAATGAGAAGGGACTACTTGAATTGGCAGAACTTTTTTTTTGGATAGTCAAATTCACAGTTCGGATGGTTTTTTAATTTTGATTGCAAGCTCGTCTTTCACTCGGGACATCAAATAATATCATCAATGGGTCTTCGGATGGGCCATTTTTTCCACATCTACAGCTAAACATAAATCGGTCAATGATTACGGGAGCGATCGAACGGAAGCAAGCACAAGTGCAGCCTAACGAGTCTCGTTCATTGATTATTTATTCTGCATACACGGCTCAACAGTTTTTGACGAAAGCTCGCGCTAATCTGACGAACACACGCTTGTTCGAGCGATCATCACGGGCGTTTTGTGTTTAACACACAAGTACTTATAATGAGGTGAAGCTCCGTCGTTTACGCGCAGTCATCGTCGATTGGAAAAAAAGTAGGGAGAGGGGGAGGGTAAAAGCTTCGTTGGACAAAACAAATTGCGCTTTCGCGAGAACAGATTGGAGCTTGAAAAGAAGCTGGATAGAGCGGCACGGATATTTGTCACTTGACGCGTGCACGTGCCAAATACAGATTTTCGCCGAGCTCCCCTTTGCCTTTTTGTTTCACCTTTGGTGCACTTACCCCCCCCCCGGCGAAGAGGGAAAATTCCGCGCACGTTGGGCAAAGATCTCCTTTTCAATCCTCCTCTTACCTCTTTTGTTTGTAGGTACAGACAGGGCACACACATTTGTTCCTTAAACTCCCACGTATGTACGTGTACGAATGTAGAAAAAAAGGGACATACACGGGATGCTCGGGCGCGTGGCAAAAAAAAAAAAAAAAAAACGAAGCCGAGCCGAAAGAAGCGAGAGAGAGAAAAGAGAAGGAGAAAAACATAGGAGGGCAGCGAGAGGAAAAAAAAAGATGCAGGCGTTGTGGGAAACGGGTTAAGTGAGTCGTGCGGAGTCTCTCGGATCGGGTCGGGCGAATGAGCCACGTGTGTGTGTGTATATGCTCCCCATTCAGGAATCGCTGCGTCAATGGACCGTTATGCGCGGCGTTATTTGGCGGCTCGCCGTTCTTACACTTGTCGGCAGGACTCTCTCTCTCTCCTCCTACCCTTACCCCGTGTGATGTACGACGATCGTATCAAAGAGCGATTACACGCATACCGATCTCCCGAAGCCCGAAAATCGATCCCAAGTCGCCCGATCAGGTGTGCGATTTTTTTTCTTGCTCTTCGTTCGAGCGACCGAGCTTGCTCGATACTTTCAGCGCAGCGAATAAAAAGTAGGCCGATCGGTCGGTGGTTGTTGGGCTCGCCGAAAATGACGGGTGGTTGTAATTATACGTAAGAGTCGGCGTGGATTATGTGTTGAGCTACTTCATTATTTTACGGATAATTTCCCCCCCCCCTTTTTTTTCTACTTGGGCAACCTTTCTACCATCCACTGCACGCACGCACTTGCTTGGTTATAAAGGAGCAAAGATCGGTGGCATCGTACAAACTCAAAACAAGTTGACGTGCACGTATCGCGCATTTTACACTCGTTTCGGATCACCCTATACCATAATCGCACTCTACGCACAACGAAGCTGATTAAAACTCCCATGGTTGTCAAGAGAAGAAAGTGCGAGAGATGGCCACAAGTGTATTACTATAAGCTAGGGTGAAATTATTCATCGGGGGGAAAGCACCCAACACCGTCGGTCACTCCGAGTGATAATGCACCGGGTGATTATCGCGATCGTTGTCGTTCGAGTTGAATGGCAGTCTCGCACGGCTGCTCTTAACCGGGTAACAAATCGGGTTACTTGCACACACGACGTATAACAACGTGCTATGCAGTCGCGTGAGCTCGGAAAGGCCGAATGATGCTACTGCAGGCATCGAGTATATAATAAGAGAAAAAGGGAACCTTTCACCCACAGCAGCGAAAATTCTCTCTCTCTTTCTCTTCTCTAAGTATATACCATTGTCAAAAGGCTGAGCAAAAAGAAAGCGAGAGAGGGATGGCGGGGGGTGAGAGCCCAAGGCGCGATGCAGAATAAATAAGACGCGCTACGAAAATGCGGACGAGGAGCCTGTGGAATTTGGAACGTCTCGCTTCGCGAGAGGAACGTGCACTACGTGCGTCCGATACCTCCCTGAAATATATATATATGTACGTACGTGTGTGCGTGCACACGTGTGAAAATGTATTCGTGTGGGTGTAATACCTGTACGTGGATGTATGCAGGTGATGGGTTTGTTTTCCGATGGATCCCATCGATGATGATGACGATCAAACGGCGCGCGCGACATATTTCGCGGAAACTAGGAAAGCCGAGTGCCGCAGCTGCTGCCGGCATCGTGACGTTCCACTTTGTCGTATGTACTTGCGTCGCTTGTGTCCCCGCGTATAGGCATATAGTGTGGCGAATCGTGCAATAATGCGCGCCTTCGTCGCGGTGGAAGGAATGAGTCCGCTGTTGTGTGTCGGGATGGATATGGCTTGTATGTTAATTTGCTCCGTTTTATTTCGTCGCGTTTGGTGATTTTTTTTTTTTTCCTCCTTTTCTCCCTTTGTAGTCCGAATCGTGATGCGAGCAATGAAAGGACAAAGAGAGGGGACACAGAGCAAACGCGACTAAAGTATTGACATTTTTTTAGAATGGATAGTTTTTAGGCTTGAATTGTCTGAAAAAATCATGCAGGTTCTTTGAGTATAAGTGGATGAAGACGTGGTTTATCGATTGCAAATCAAAAGTTGGATTTTCTCACGCTCTCCCTATAGATTTTTCAACATGCACGTTAAAAATGTAATTAGCGATGATGATGATATTAGTAGTACAAACAAAATTATTATTTTACGTTTTTCAACTGATGTGTGAAATGTGAGCTGAAGAATCGGTGAAAAAAAAAAAAAATGGTAAATTAAAAAAAAAAAAAAATTATCGGTTTCAGATATTGGGTCCTGAATCGATTCACCGTGGACGACTACGCGGAATGCGGTTAGCCGTTCTTTTGTTAACGTGTCTCCTCTTCCAGGGGGTAAGTAAAAAAAAAAGCACAGGTGCACCTCTATATTCATGTTCATCGATGAGTTTAATTTTATCGAAGCTTATCGAGTTAGTGGTCGTGATATACTTTTCGGCTAATTTTAATTAAACTTTTAGAGAATTTCGCTTATGCTTGAATTTCAAGTAATAAAATATTATAAACATATATTCTATAAAAAATGGTATTCATTAGCTTTGACGTTTTGTGGCTGGGCTAAAAAATTGTGACGAAAAGAAAAATAATAAAGTCCACTCACGTAACTTTATTATCGCTCGCATTTACTTTCACGACGAAAAGTTCAGCGCAAGAGGATTACTTTTACGGTGCGAGCTTTTTAGTAAAATTGTATTTTTGATGTGGTTTAAACGAGGTTTCACTCTGTCAAGTGTGCGGTGCAAGCGGATGATAATTTTTTTTATCCTCGACGGAACTTGATTTCTTAATTGAGATGTGAAATTTTTACCCCTGACGACTGAAAATCATTCAATTACGCAGAAAATATGTGGTTTAATCACGCAATCGATCAAATACGTCTTAAACTAAACCCGCCATTGTTGATATAATACGATGTGTGCACTTCATTACAGTGCAAACTTTCACTGCTTCCTCGTATAATCTTATAGCGATCCATAAAAGTACTAAAGTCATTCCAAGTTTAGACAAAGCACAGATAAACTTTTGATACAGGAGTGATGAAAAAAAATTTTAAAGATCTGAAAAGTCGTTCCAAGTGCTCACCCATCACCCAAAAAATCAACCCTGTCCGCAAATAAAATGCACGCGTCAAGAAGGACGCAGAGCACCTGTATTTACCGATCCGGGGCATCACCCCCTCTATGGCGCAGAGGCCGGAAGCTATGGTCGCACGAGGGGCCAGTCAGCCGGTGGCATTCCAGAGTCCCTGTTTTTTCGCCTCCGCGTTCGTGGAAAAGGCGCGCCCGGTTTTAGCGCGCTACCTATAATGCGCACTGAAAAAAAAAAAAAAAAAAAGACCAACTCGCGTCTGTTACGGCGAAATGTACGGTCGTCGTCGCATACATGTGCGAGAGAAAGATGCGTAAAGTTGCGTCACGTGTCTGACCCCCTGATGCTACTTGTTGTGGCACTGCTGCAAAGTGGATACCTAACGGTGTGCCGGCAGCTGCCAGGGTCAATCGGCCAGCCGTTCAAAGTCGTCCTCGTCGTCGCCTCCTTCGTTCTTCCTTTTCCTGAAGCTGCTTTTTGTCGCTTTCTCCCTCTCTCCGATTTATTTATATATATAGACTCGTACACATGTCTTTGCAAGAGAAAAGAAAAGCCGCGCTCGTTTCTGTCGTTTTGTTTGTTGATTGCCTAATTTTTTTTTTTTTTTTTTTACTTCATCCTTTGCGAGCCGATCATAGTTTGTACATCATAGCGTGAGGCGTTGACAAAGATTTTTGTTCTCAAAAATAAAAAAAAAATAGTTTTGTGGATTAAAGGTGGGCGAACACAGAACAACAAGATGAGCAAAAGTAAAAACTTTCATGAATAACTTAAGGTCTCGCTCGATTGGTCAATGCAAGTTTTACCAATGCGCAATACCACCCCTTAATCATAAAATTCGTTACACCACGGGATAAAAGATTTTCACCCAAATTGCATAGATAAAAAAAAAGTTTTTCTCAAAACTCTAGTCATGTGCATCGTACAGTATACTCACAGATTATAGAGCAAACAGCCAACTCTTTCCTCAAGTGAACACATGTACAGCCACTCGACGCGTGTGTTGCGATTATTACACGCGTACCCGTATACAGTTAAAAATATCGAGTTAAAAAGCACCGACTGACCCGTACGTAATCGATCGAAGCTAATTTTTTTTTTTTTTTTTTTTCACCCCGGACAATAATGAATTCAAGCCTACACCTGAAATTACCTTAACGACGTATCCTCCCTCCCTCCCTTCCTTCTATCTTCTTATGCGCATTCATTCGTGTAGCATCAGAAGCGCGATCGGTCTCCTCTCTCGTTCCTTGGCTTCGTTTTTTTTTTTCTTTTTTTTCCGGTATGCTTGTGTGTTCGACAACGGCACAAAAAAAGACGAGACAGACGCAACCCGACGCACTGCTCTGCTCGTCGCCCTTAGCTCTGGGTCAGAGCGGCGGTAACGGCAACTGCGTGCACTCTCGCGCGTCTTCCGTACGCCTTATCCGCGTGTATATATATGTATGGGTATGATGTGTTATCTGGGTTAAAATATACGTCCGGATAATTGTGCTCCGGTGAGAATAACCGAGTGGAAAAAAGAGTCTGCGTGCCTGTCTCTTTTGGGCTTGCGTTTTTCACACGCTCGTGTAGGCTCATTTGCCTGCTCGTTGCGCGGCTCGTTTTTCATACGTTGCGTTGATATTGGGACCGGTTGGATGATCGGTATTTAATCGGTATACTCAACAGCTCGAAGAAAAAAGTATACGGCTAGAACGTGTTTAAGTATGAGCTATAACAAGAGACTGAGCTTTTGCGTGAGTCTGTGGCGATCATCAACTTTTAGTTTCTTAAAATCGACATATTTTTTACTAAAAAATTAGAATGAAGTAAAAAAGTTAAGTACTTCTAAACGATTTTTCGGCTAATTCGAAATAACTTTTGTGATGATGCGTCAATAAAGAAAGTGTACTTTTTTGAAAATTTGTATAAGTTTGGGTGTAAAATAACGACTAAATTCAGTTTTTAGTTACTTTTAGACTTTTGTTTTTCTCACCGATCTCACTTGGCTTTCCCCACAGGTGGCACGAGCCGACGAGGTCGAAGTGGTCGAAGCTTTGGCGAGCGACGACAGTCGCAACGACAACAACAACAACCCCGGCAACCATCACCAGGATGTCGCCGACACACCCCAGTCCTTGCAGCAGCAACAACAACAACAACAACAGCAGCAGCAGCAGCAACAGCAACAGCAGCAACAACAATCACCCAACGACCGTAGCGACGTCCAGATGTCGTCCAACCACGCGGACGGTATGTCCACCGAGAGCGAGAACGGCGGGCCCGCGTCGTCCCAAAACCAATACGGCCAGGCCAACCTGAGGGGCCACCAGCACGTGTCCAACAGAGGCCGGCCCCACCACAGCGTCGTAGCTTACCACGGGCCCCCGCCACCGCCACCACTCGGTTCCGTTTCGGTGAGCTCGACGATTCCGGGATCGACAAGCCATTGGCGCGTTCACTACGATGATCGGCTCGTTTTTTTTTGTCTGTTCGGCACAGTCCTCGGGCTCGCAGAAGTCACCGTCGTCATCGGCCGTACAGCAACAGCAGCAGCAACGCCCGCTGGACAGCATCGACAAGATCTTCGACACGGCGATCGCGGCGAGCACGAGTTTGGGCGACAACAGTTGGCCCGCGCCCAGCGGCGACATGCCCAAGATCGTCTCGCTGGACGTCAAGTGCGAGAAAAAATCGATGAAGGTCTACCTGGGCTTCGACAAGCCCTTTTACGGCATTGTCTTCAGCAAGGGCCACTACAGTAACGCCAATTGCGTCTACCTTCCGGCAGGCCTCGGCAGGACGTCCATCAACTTCGAGATCGGTATACACGCGTGCGGCACCGCCGGCAACACCGACAACGGCCTCTACGGCTACGGAGCGGAATCCGGTTCTGGGACCTACTTCGAGAACATCGTCGTCATACAGTACGACCCGCAGGTGAGCACGTTGCTCTTCTTCTCGAGCACTCTGTCGGGGAACTCTCGAGTGGTGCGCGGGATTCGTTAGCCGGATGATGAGCGATACTTCGAGGTGTCGAGTGGATATAGGTCCTTGGTCGATCTAGAGTTTGCGCGTAAATGGAACGATTAGTATGCTAAGGATAGCACAGCTTTAGTATAGCAGCAACTCGAAAAAAAGCCTTCGTATCATGTAAAAATTGCGTCTTGTATAGGTGGATGCTGCCTTCACTGCAACTTGAAAAATATTTACCGATCTTTTGTCAAATATTCACAAATAGTTAAAATTTTTATTGATTTTTTTTTTTTTATTGACTACTTGCTCATTGAAAGTTGTATTTCTGCGATAAAAGTATAAGTATTTCTAAATGCGTCATGAATTATCCCCGAAAAATCGAGTCAAAGGAAAAAAAAAAAAAAAAATACTAAACGCAACTGGCAAAACAAACAGCTCTTCTATGATCAGTATAAAAACACCGTCTAACGAGTGCTCGTTTCGTCCCAGGTGCAAGAGGTTTGGGATCAGGCGCGCAAACTGCGCTGCACTTGGCACGATCTCTACGAGAAATCGGTAACCTTTCGTCCGTTCCCGGTCGATATGCTCGACGTAGTGAGGGCCGACTTTGCTGGCGACAACGTCGGTTGTTGGATGCAAATACAAGTGGGTAAAGGGCCCTGGGCTTCCGAAGTCTCGGGCCTCGTGAAAATCGGACAGACCATGACCATGGTGCTCGCCATCAAGGATGACGACTCCAAGTTCGACATGCTCGTGCGTAACTGCATGGCCCACGACGGCAAAAGAGCCCCCATACAATTGGGTGAGTCTTTCTTTCATTAGCCTAGTACTCCTTTGAAAATTATGTACCAATTGCGATGACTTTGTTACCTAACGCTCTATTGGTTTTTTTATCTTGCAAAAAAAAAAAAAAAAAAAAAAAAAATCAGTCGACCAGCGTGGTTGCATTACGAGGCCAAAGCTGATGTCGCGCTTCACGAAAATCAAGAATTTCGGAGCGAGCGCCTCCGTCCTCTCGTACGCCCATTTCCAAGCCTTCAAGTTCCCAGATTCGATGGAGGTGCACTTCCAGTGCACGATACAGATCTGCCGCTATCAGTGCCCGGACCAATGCTCCGACCCGACGCCCTCGCTACTGCACAACGACGGCCTCCTGCTCGAGAATCACAGGGCGTCGATCGGCCACGCTGACGTGGCTGCCTATGGCATATCACCGCCACCTATGCCCCTTGAGGCCTACCTTCAGGTGTGTGTTTTGGCTTACTTCTCTCGGTACATCGAATTTTTTAATACTTTCTTGGCGCAAAAGAAAAAAAAAAGATCGATTTTTCACAGTCGGTGGGTCGACCGAGGGACGAGCGTAGGCGCAAGAGTCGCGCCATCCACTCCCCATCAACCACCACCACCACCACCACCACCAGTACAACAGTGGCACCAAGCACCAGTCCATCCCCAGCCAAAACAGTGGGCGTTAACCGCGTGATCCGCGTAGTCTCGACGGGTGACCTGACCTTCTCGATCGACGAGTCGACGAGCAACGACACGAGTGGTGCCGCCGATGGCTCCTCCACCTCGACGATGATATTCCCGGTGCGCGAGTCCCTGTCCGGTTCAGGAAACGGCAACCTCATTTGCATGACGACGTCTGGCTTCGCGCTCACCCTACTGTTGCTGTTCGCGGTTCTGCTCGCCAGCTGTGGCCTCTCGACGTACCTCTGCATCAGACTGAGGCCTTTCGGCAAGAGGATGATGGTGCCCGCCGAGGCCGCCCTGACCGTCGGGGGCTTCGCCGTTCACGCGATCCACGCCGAGCACAGTCACCTCGGCAAGTCCACCTGCTTCTATTCGTAATGAGCGCCGTGCTAATATCGCGTTTGGTGATGATCAGATTATCATTTTGGGAGGATGTTATTCGCGTGGGTGGGGTTGATTGTTGCGACGATCACTTGGGGTGCGGGTAATCGCGTTTGGGTGGGATGTATGGATTTTTTCCTGTTGGATTTTTTTTTTTTTTTTTTTTCATCGTGTGTGGCTGTGACCAAGTGAAAGGGAGCTCGATGATTATTACGAGTGTATTAATTTTTTTTCGTGAATATCTTATATGATGATTGTTTGGTCATTTTTGTGCTTGTTAAGGTTTTGTATCAATTTTTTTGTTTGTTTGTTTTGTTTTTCAATCATCGGCAATTGTTTTGAATCGAATGCAAAAGAGCGTGGCTGCTTTTGCGTTTCGATTCGCAAATCAAATTGAATATACCTTCATTTGTATATTTTTTTAAGGTAGTCCTAACGTTATGCTAGTCAAAAAACAACTTTTTCTTTTACTTTATAGTGTGCACAATTCGGTTTCATTATTACTACTTTTTTTTTTTTCGAATATTATTTATTGACATTTTTACTTAAAAAATTCACGAGCTTGGGATTCATTGTAAAGTGTTGAAAATGTTTTCCATTTGATAACAACGAGAGATTGATTATTTCTTTTTTATTTACGGTTCAAAGTTCGATTTGAAAGTTCGACTTATTAGTTGCTATATTGTTAACTTTCCATTAACCCATCAGTCAAATATGATACTGCATTTTTTCAAACAAATATATCAAATATCAATCATCGTCGTCACAATGAAAATTTTCTCTATGCATATAGTTGACCTCGTGTTAGGACTACTTTAACTCATTAATTAATTATACATGTCGTGAGAATTATAATAGTTGATTTAAGTGAGTAGGTACATAGCTTTTATTTTCGCATAAAAGTACGAAAATGCTTATCATGTAAAATTATGTTTGGATGAAGCAAGTAATTTTTGAAAAAAAAATGTATTAATCCAATGACGTCTAGCTATATCTGTGCTTCAGGGCATGTATTTATATATTGATTATATAAATGATTAATGAATATAGATGGAACGATTAGTATGCTAAGGATAGCACAGCTTTAGTATAGCAGCAACTCGAAAAAAAGCCTTCGTATCATGTAAAAATTGCGTCTTGTATAGGTGGATGCTGCCTTCACTGCAACTTGAAAAATATTTACCGATCTTTNTGATCATTTATTTTCATTGCTCTTATAAAGGTATATAGGTACATTTTTATATAGTTCTACAGTTAGATAAACTCATAAGACTCACACGTGCCGATGAAAGAACATCGTTCCACAAGTACAAAACTTAAAAAAAAGCACATCCTCGCATCGTTCGAGATGATTAATGAATATAGTTTATATTAACACACTTTGAATTATTGTCTAACAAAGAAAATATGCCATTATTTAGATAATATTGTATTTAATCAAAGTGGTCTAAGCTAACCATCGTAAGTTATTAAGTGACGTAAGGTATAAATGTTTCTTTTGCGATAGCGCAAATTGAAATAGACTGATAATTTCAATTGTAAATGTACAACCACATTAATAACTTTAATTTACTGGACGATTGTCTATTAATGAAATAATACATTAATTTATTGTGTAATGTTGACCTATTTTAATGGAGATAAAATTTTTTTTTCTCAATCTGTAAAAAATATTTTTAATTTGTACGCCAAAATATATATTACTGTTTCCGATGAAAACAACAAAAAAGTTAATCCACTTTATGATTGTTTGTATGAATTTAATTACAGGTAACTGACCCAATTAAACAAAAAAGAAATTGCTTCCGTAATATCCATATCTACCTCGATGACATCAGTATTCATGAAAAACACAAGTATAACACCTTTCGTTTTTATACGTATAAATTAAAATGATCATAAAGTAAAAGAGAAAAAAAAATACAATTAGACGTAATTGGAATCATTCAATGTACAGATACAGTTACATAATCACCGCGTCATTTCTACGATTAAGTTAAACGGATACCATAAAAGTATCTGGATCGTATCATTGGAGAAAAAAAAAAAAAAAAAAAAAAAATGTACGCAATAGGGCGATTGCAATAAGCTTCCATAAATAAAATTTAAAAAAAATTATTAAAAACGTCTCTATACCTACACAAAGTACATAGAAACCACAAAATAATTTTTATGTTAGGTATAACTGTGTATAACTTAAACTCTAATTTTAAGTGACGAAATAGGGATCGAAATGTCGAGTTTCGTAGTTTCACGTAAAAGAATATCGAAATAGATTACTTACATTAAAATAACTTTGATGTTCGCGATCGGCTTCTCGGCGTGTCGTGCATCACCACAAACCTGACCCGAATAATTTTCACCAACAGTGCCGGCAGGTCGGCTCATCCGTAGTTACAGAATCTAATTAGCAGCGGCGGCCAACATACACGCGCACACGCTGGGAGAGTTCGAGGAGTCTAGCACATGTACACAGAAAACAGTCATAACCCAGCCGAGACACGCTCGTGCGGTCGCAGCTCGGGGCCGCTTTTTTGCCGGTGCAACGGTTCCTCCTCCTCCTCCTCCTGGACTTCTTTCTTTTGCGTTTTTTCCTAACTCCCTGGTGTGCGGTGTTCTCGTCTATTGTAAATCACTCACTGAAATAGGGATAGACACGCACATTTATCGTCATACGGGAAAAAAGATCCGAGCCGCCCGATAATGTTACATTCGTATGTACAGGTACGCATCACTTACGTGGGCTCCGTCCTTTTAGGACGAGGCGGAAACTTGTCTGCGGCCTCTCGTCTGTTTCTTTTTTTTTTTTTTTTTTTTTTTTGTCTCGCGCTGTACTCGTGCAGGATGCCCCGTTTTTTTTTTTTTTTCTTTCGATGCAGAGGTGCGTGCAGATTGTTTGGTGGAAGAATCGCAAATGTTGCACGCGCCGCGTACATTCGAAGTGGTGATTTTATACGGGAGCAGAGGTGGTTAATTAAAATTATTCACTCGTTACACACCGCCGCCGCTCGTTGATTACTCGAGTCGCTAGACCTTTACACGGGAGTCGATCTTCATTTGACTTTTAAGAGTTTAATCGAATCATTTTACGCGTCCCCGAATTTTCCATACAGATATCCGTGCACCATTCAACTCTAATATTAACTCGATGATCTTTTGAGTTTCAAAAGTTTTGTGGGATCTAAGAAAAATGTATGCTTCACTTACACTTTTAGATGGGGTAGTTAAATTAGTGGAGGATACTGTTCTCGTAACAATCACGGATGACTAATGCGAGTAAAATCAATAATAACACACGTGTAAGTATAATCTAAGTATGAAATGGATAATTTATCTTATTTCATTTTTTTTTAACTGCAGAAATAGATCAACGACAAGAATCCCATTGAATAAACACTAAATATAACGATAATCATCTAAAAGTGACGAGACTTACGCATTTCGAAGAAAATCAAATCATGGAAAAAGAGGATGAGAAATAAAAAAAACATAGTCATATCGATAATCCACAAATCCGTAGCAGTAATTAGCCAGTGATAAAAGAATCCAAGTCGATTGAAGGCAATCAATCGCCGAGCTATTAGGCTCGCTTGAGGGCGTACCTAACACATTTTTTTAGTACGCGATTGGTACTATGATCTTCTTTTTAATATTACACCAGCATGGGAGACCACATAAAAAAAATAAAAAGAAAAAAACGGAGAGAAAAATAAACGGCACGCCATACTGGTGGTATGTATATATTCTGCAACAGTCTATAAACGAAGGAGACTCTTAATGGTAAGTCGTTAGCGCTGGTTGTTAAGGCGCGTGCAGCGAACTGAGTTTTTAAACGTCGGCTTTTGAGTTTGAAGGGGGTTTCAGGTGCAATTGAGCTTAGGTACTTCCTAATGAATATGGATGCTAGTAGTAATAGTGTAAAATTGCAGTTATTGACACTGTACAAGTATTAGTATTATTTAGTAAGCTACCATCTTGACTGTTGATACAACAAAAAAAAAAAAAAAAAAAAAAATTACAATATGAAACAGCTAATAATATTATAAATGTAATAGAGCTTTTGTTTCGATGGGTTCGTATAGTAAAGTGTATTGCCCGACGTGGATAATAGTCCTAATTAGTTACGGGGAAGTGAATCAAATAGATTACTTGCCTTCCTCTTCCGGGCGAGTTTAGACTCTGTCTTGGTTTATTCATCACGCGGTTCGTTTCACGTTTAGGGTTTATTGAATGTACAGGGGACGAGTTTAAAATACGAAATAAACAAGACAAGGTGTTGGTAAATGTTTTTTAATATAACATATTATTATAATTTATTAAAATGTAATAATAATGACAGTGATAATAGATAAACAGAAAATTCGCTTAGGATTTTCTTTACAGCACCCATCCTCGCACCACATGATCATTTATTTTCATTGCTCTTATAAAGGTATATAGGTACATTTTTATATAGTTCTACAGTTAGATAAACTCATAAGACTCACACGTGCCGATGAAAGAACATCGTTCCACAAGTACAAAACTTAAAAAAAAGCACATCCTCGCATCGTTCGAGCTTACAGATTAAAGTACACCCAAAAGTTAGATACTTGTACACGTAAAGTTCATCTTGCCAAAGAGATTAAAAAACAGTGGATACAGTATCCAAAAAAAAAAAAAAAAATAAAAATAACAAATAATAAAAATTACATCAAATTGGCAAAACAAAGATTATAATGAATCGTGAGATTAGTAAAATGTATTACCTAAATCGTTGCTCACTCATTGTTTTAAAAATTTTATTTAAACCAACATACAAATCTCTTAGATAACAATATTACGATAAAACGTTATAGTTGATATATTCTTTATATATGTATATATCATGTATGTTTGTATGTATAATGCACCACATTTAAACTCTTTCAATATTCTTGGTATAAAATGACAAAGATAAATAGTACACGATATATCATATGTGATAAACTCTTATAAAACTTATATATATATATAAATACATATCTATATTTATAAAAAGTTGAGTTGCAAATCGAGCAGAGCACCATTATCTATGTGCGTCAAATAGATCTAGAAAATCAACAACTGTATTTTTGCAATGTACATACATATAATATAACTACTCGTACTTCGTGATACCTTGCTCGATCCGCAACTGAGGCGTAGTTAACATCCCTTTACACACTTAATTTTTTTTCTTAAAATGTAATAATACTAGATGCAAATGTGATACGTGTGATAGAAGAGAGGAAAGAGGGATACACGTATACGTATAGATTCTCAAACAGTTGGTACAGCAATGACATGATTTTCCGAAGAGAAATTTTTGTAAAAAAAAGAAAACTCGAGCTAACATAGTCATTCAAGTTTTTCTCTTTGCCATTAGAACGCCGTGCTTCAGGTGTATACGAGTGCGTTGGAGCAAAATAAAAAGAGAAGTAAATACGAAAAGATAGTATGTACCGATGGTACTTTGTACAGTGTGTGAGTATATTGCACATGATTTTCGAGAAATTTTGCCCCTGTGAAGAAATTTAAGGAGGATTTGCCAAAGTTACGAAGACCCTGCGTGTATGTAAGTGTGTGTTGGAGATAAATAATTTAATTGCAGTCGGGTTCGCTTAACAAGAGACCCAATGCAGGGCTTAGTTTCGAATAGATTCGTACAGTCGCAAAGTACTTCGTAAAGACAATCATGCGGGAAGTTTGAAACATCGGGAGTATTTATCTCGTGTTATCTTCATTGTACACGAATCGAATAAAAAGTAGGTATACATTTGTGTTGGAAATAGTTCCTTAGAAATTTTTAGTTTTATTTGCTTCAGTGTAAAATAAGGGTGTATTAAAGTACTGCAGTTTCAACAGTAAGACAATTATATCGATACAGATAAATTAAACTATATTAATCATCCGAAGATTATTATTTTCATCTAAAGCTACGTCTAGACACTTTTTTTTTCCACTCTGCGAGTGAACTACGTGTTATTAACAATTTACTTGACGACAACTATCAAAGTCTCATTATGTAATCATTGCAACGGTACCGGCTTGCTTAGTTTAGTTGTTAGAGTGTCGGCCTCGTGTTTTATGTAACTCGAGACAACAGCTCTCACGTGAATAGATGTAAAACAAGAGGATCAGTAATTAAAGAAATGAATGATTTTTGGTCAAGTTACAAATTCTCGTGCTTACTTCTAACTCTTAAAGGTTTTTTCAGGCACTTCAAATTCTTCAAACCACATACATACATTCATCTTTTACTTGCCTATTAAAATTACATCTAGTTTTAACAGAAAAAAGAAAGAAGTATGTAAAAAATAAAAAAATTTTTTTTTTCACAATCGCTGAGCCCACCCTTGAAACTTCGCAGGCTCATGGAGGATTTCATCCAGCTGAGTCACCAATCTGTATTAATGGTCCCAGAAATACCACCCTAACGCTCGTGGCGCTGAATTGTTTAGAATCAATTTCCGTGATCAGCCTACGTTCGCACACCATCAATTTACTACAAACTCGAGCATCATCTGTTTCCGCGAAACATCGAATTCAATGGAAAAGAGAAGAAAATTTTGATTTCTGCTCAGCAACGAAAACGTACCACTCAAACGAGAAAAAAAAAAAAAAACGCAACCAACCGCAAACAAAAACAGCAGTACCTCCACCTCAGTCGGACTCGACGGTCGTCCGGTTATCGATGGGCCTCTGGCTCTCAGCCGCGCACCTAGCCCTAAACAACCCATACGCCCTGAGCCAGCCGTACTGCTGTTGCTGATGGTGCTGGTGGTGATGTCCATTTCTGGTCTCGGTCGCGGCGATCCTTTGTCCAGCCACGATGGCTGCGAGGCAGTTTTTGCGCGCAAGCTCGCGCTGAGCTTGCAGCCGGTGCACCATGGCGCCTGCGATGAGAGCCGATACCACTGCCGAAAGCGTCACGATGACGAAGAGAGCGCTGAAGCCGCTGATCGGCAGGCAAATCCCGTACACCACCTCCTCGCGTATTCGGCCCTAAAAGACGAGGAACAATGATACAGTGACTCGATCCTTGGATTGGCAAAGGATCGTATGTGAGTAAGGCATACTTGGAACACGGTCACGGCCTCCGGATGGCTGTCGGGGCTGAAGGCGAGGTCAGCCTCGGAGATGACTTCGTAGATGCCGGACACGCCCACGTCGGCACTGCGCACCTTTCGGTCGGACACGACAAGCGAGCGCTTGCGCCGACTCGTCGTCGCGCTCAGCGGCTCCAGCTGTGGCTTGGTCTTGTTACCGTTAACCGTGGTGTCGTTGACGAGCTGTTCCATGGCCTCGGCGATTCTCGAGGGCTCCCTCGACTTGCCTTCCCGAGATCGGCCACCGAGTGGGTCGAAGATTGCGTCATCGCTGTCGTCGGGCTCGAGCTTGCGCGGCCCGTGTGGGAAGTGATCCTGCGGCTGGTAGCGCGTCACTCGCGCCGGCTGCACCGACTGAACCGAGAAAATCAATACGTGTGTAGGTGTTTTTTTTTTTTTTATATAAGATTGTATATGAATCGAGGATCAGCCTCACTTTTTAATTTTTCCATACGTACCAAGAACGGCTGGGATAGCACCGGGTCCTCGCCGACGTTGATTACGGGCTCGGACGTCGTGGATGTGGCCTGCTGCGCTTGAACCAGGGGTGAAGCGGCTGCCGATTTCTCGAGTCCGCCGAGGAAGTGGCCGCCGATCGCAGCCATCCCGTCGCCTCCATTGTGCACCAGATCGTCGTACAGCTGAGCCGAGGCTGACGGAGAGGGCCCGTCGTTCGGTGACTGTGGTCGCTGACTGCTGCTCGCCGGAAGCTCGGGGGCGTAGGGTTGTTGCCGGATGTCGTTGCGATCCTGGAGGTAGGGGCCAAGGCTGTCACCGATCGCGCCGTTCCCGCTTGACTGGCAGTGGTCCAGGCAGCCGTGCCGGCAGATTTCAACCTTCATAGATGAAAAGAGGAGGTGAGAGGTGTTTTTTTTTTTTTTTTTTTTTTTTTTTTTTTTTTTTCGGAAAACAGGTCAGACGAACCTTGCACTTGATGTGCACGCTAAGAGCGTCGGGGAACTTGAACGCGTGGAAAAAGGCGTAGGTTATAACGGTAGCCCTGTCGTCGGAGCCTCGGGCCTTGAGGAAACGGCTGATCATTTTCGGCCTGAGGACGCAGCCGAACTCGTCGCTTAGCTGTATCGTGTGGCCACCACCGTCCGAGGCAACGCAGGATTTCACTCGCATGTCGAACTCGCCTGTTTGTAGAAGGATTTGTGGCGAAAGGAAGAAAAATAATAATACGTGTTGTTAGTCAAGTGCGAGTGAGATACCGGATTTGGCCGAAAGCGCCAAATACCTTGCATTTTGCTGTGGCGCTCGTTACCTCTGTAATCGTTAATCGCGACGACGAGGGTCAGGGTTGAGCCGAGGGGTACTATGCCAGAGACGGGTGGCGCCCATGGACCCTTGCCGTGCTGTATCTCCATCCAACAGTCCACATTGTCGCCTGCAATCGTTTTTGGTAAAATTTTTCTTTTTCTGATTTTACAGCTTTTACAGATTATTGTTGAAAAGGTAATGTTTTTTTTTTTTTTTAATGGAAGTAGAAAAATCGTGCATTACAGAACGACGAGCTCAAGCTCTCAATCACGGCTATTTGCATGGCAGTAGAAAGTGAACGAGTATAGTCAGACGGCCTCATGCCACCCAACGCAAAATAATTTTTCAACGTCTTTTTATTTATACGTTTTATTTTTATTAAAAAATTGTGTCAGGTATTTTTAAATGCATGAGTATGTTACGGTAACTTTTAATAAAACTCTGATGGCACGAAATTTTCAGTAAATATTTGTTGATAAAAAAGTATGTAGCCGTTAGAAATATTTATCAGTTGTATTATACGAGCAAAAAGTTGGTCAATGTTTGTAGCGCAAAATTAATTATTTTTAGATACAAATTACAAAACCCTGAAAATACATACTGTTCATCGTTCCCAAAATACACCATTAATATTTCCTTTTGATCAACGCTCACTCTGTTGTTCCCACCACGCAAACATAATACGTGTAACGAACGGGCACTGATTAAAAATGCATACCTCTAAAGTCGAGCTGTATGACGTCGAGGTCAGCAATCACCATAGGAGGTTTAGATGCGGTTTTCTCGTAATCATTAAACCACTCGCAGCGCAGCCGCTTCGCCTCGTCCCATACCTCCAGCAGATCCTTATCGTACTGCACGACAACAGTATTTTCATAAAACTGACCGTGCATATCTGGCTTCGTGCCACACCTGCGTATTCAATACGTAAATGTTATTTTTTCGGTTGGTTAACTTGCACATACGAGTAATTCTGCGCAAAAGTCTCTCTCAAAATTGAAAACGTATTTAAGCACATCATTGAGATGAAGATATCTTTTTGTTTTATACCTTAGTAGAAAAAAATCAATGAACATAAATTAATAAATGTGTGTCATTCGCTTTCGAGTGTTTTATTGAGAAAATTTTTTAGATATTGCTGAAAACTCGTGAATATTAGTATTTAGCTTAGCCAAACTAGAAAACGTTCCTTACAATTTTTTCTTTGGTGAACAGTCAACGGGCAAAAGACTTGCAAAATCGTATTTTTCAAAAGTTGTTGGAGCTTTTCTTTATGGAACCGCTTACATTTAATACACATGTTTTTATGTACGACAAACTTCAATGAATAATTTTGTACCGTTTCTCGTGACGTCGAGTACCACAGCTTCTCGATCGTAAAATTTTGAAATTCAAACGGCCTCTCGAGCCTTTTACAGCGTAATGAAAATATTCAAAGGGGCGTAATGCCTGCAGGGCTCTTTTTAATTTTCAATTTCGCGCAAAAGTACGCACACTCCCGTTTCAAACGTGGAAAATCGATTTCCGCAGAACTGCACTCACACCCGATACTTTAATTAAATGCATCAAACGAATTTTAATTAAATTATGGACAGAACAATTTTTTTCTGACACAGCAGCAAAAGTATGTTAATCAAGTCAAAACGCTTTGATGACAAATTTCACATGAATCAGTGAAAGAGAAAAAGTAGAAAATGCTGAAAAAAAAAAAAAATCCAAAGAAAAACCGAAACAAAAATACATACACATATAATGGAGATTTACCTTGCGTAAGCTATCCTGAAAGAGAAGAAAGTTTGGCTGGTGGAGGGTGGCACGTAGACGCACCGGGGATCCGAGTGCTGGCCCTTGGACGAGACGATGCCCTCGAAGGGCTGCGAGAACGACAGATGCACGTCCATGTGGTCCTTGCCGCACATCACCTCCAGCGATTGTATGGCCGGCATACCGTCCGGCCGCTCCAGCGGCCAGATATCGCTGCTACTCCTCACGTACCTCAAGCCAACCATCTATTGGTAAAAACAATCGTTCTCCATGTACTACTTTTTACTATGTATCGCGTGCATACAGTATTTTTATGTGTTTGCATTTGAGCATCATGTACACATCGGATTGAGTTGTTTATACGAGGGATAGTCAGTTAATATCTTGTCTAATCTTCTTCATACCTCAAGATTTAAATTTAATATAAGAAGATTGTGGTTACACGTATAGGTATGATAATATATATAAAGCACACTCCGGTCTTATCTAACCTGGCTGTTTCTACTTGTAATATACGAGCTAGCCGCTCACTTATCGTTTCGGTAAATATCATGAGACCAAAAAAAGTAAGTGATGCTTCTGCGAAGCAATCATCGTTTTCTACATATATTTGAGCTGCAGTTGGATGTCGTTTTTGGTTTTAGCACCTCCAGAGCACACGAAAACAGTTTAACATTTCTTGTGCACCCCTGTGCAATTTATCAAATTGGCCCCTTAAATTACTTTATTAACCGATAAAAAAAAAAAAAAAAAAAAAAAACAGTTATAACAGTAGCACCGCACTCGAAATGCAGCAACAAGCACACCCCTATGTAAGCTCGATCAGCGAGTCTCGCCTCTCGTGTACATGCATAGGACATATAAAGCGAGTCGCAGAAGTAAAAAAAGGCCAAACGGAAAATAAGTCACGCGAAAGAGGACAGCAGACTTCCTGCCGGTGGGGTACAAGAAAGAGCAGCAGCGTGTCCAGCGCACACACTCCCATTACTCGGCGATTCGCGGTAAAGTTCGCGAGAGCTCGCGTAGTGTATACACGACGCACGAGCAGGCGCCGCTTCCGCGGCACATGATACAGAAGCCCACTCGCACGCGCGCTTTTAGGTATAGGCGATACAGAAATAAGAGGGAAGAAGAAAACACTGTCTACGGCCGAGAAAGAAAGAAAGAGCACCGCTTAACGGGAGAGACGTCTTTACCGCTGCATTAACGGTCGTCGTTTTTCGCGCGCCTGCCGTCGTCAAAGCCGCCACTGCTTAGGCATACACCGACAGACACACATGCACGCCTTTACCGTCTACAATGCGCGTCGGCCCACTGGCGAAGACTCGTTTGCCCCCTTAGCTTCCCTTGTTCGTCCGCCCTTGCCGGTTTATTCCGGCTCCAGAGGCTGCTTCTCTTCCTCTTCGTTGCGCTACTTGGGCAATCGGCCTGGGGACTTTTATGGGCCGGAGGCTGCGCTTCGCTGGAAACGATTATACACCAAGGGCGATCGAGTTTCCGATTCCGTTCCCACCCGCCACGTGGGTAAGGAGATTTCATAAACGGGCCGTTGAAGTATGTGGTTATCTGATTGTCTCTGGGGCTATTTTTCTCTCTATTACGAAAACGAGAGTAGATTTGCTTCAGTGCATTGGTGATTTTATGCAAGGCCCACGTCGCCATCAAAGAAAACGTATAGTTGACACTTTATTTTTGCAAATCTGCAGTCTTTTTTTGGTTAACTAGACTAGAAACTCTGGAATCAGTAGTTTCAATCTTATCAATGACAAAGTCCTTCGTGACAAGTTACATTTTGAAGTGCCAATTTTCATGTAACGAAGCAACCGTTTGTACTTAATTTTTTTCATGGCTGAGCTGGAGTAAAAATAATTTTATCGTTACCAGGTGCAAACTACTCGCAAACTACCACGATGCAGCACCGGAACTGGGTCATTAAATCAATCCCGGGAACGTTAAACGCACAGCCGGTAGTTTTCTGAAATAACATAGCTCCTCACTCGCGTGAGACTCGAAACTGATAGTTGCGGTTGAGAAATAAGAGATCACTGCGGAACGTGTCTCTCGAGAGCGGCGCTAGAATTAGAAGTATCTTACGCGTAATGAGAAGATTAAATGTATCGGCGCAATGCACGCGTAGAGTAAAATTAAATTCTAACTTGGTAATAATTACAAGCAATTACTGTTGTTTCTCCTTTTTTTTTTCATCGTTTCTAAAGTAAGGATCATATTTTCGTTTTATTCCATCTCTTAGTCAGGGGAAGGTAGTGTCGATGGCATTTTTATATAATTCATTGGATTAAGTATTTCACACGATTTTACGCTCTTGCATGTTCTTCGCAAGAGCAAGGTTCTATTAAATTTGGAAAAACTCTGTTCGAAGATACCGTAGTAGTTCGATCGATTCAGCTGATACTGCATTGCAATCGAGCAAGTGTTGGTCTACAAATGAAAAAAAAAATTTCCACATAATTGGAAGGTTATTAAAAACGAAGCCCTTCAAGTACTACTAGCAAAGTACTGAAAAAAAAAAAAAATATTAAATTGCATCGTTCATCAGTTAAATTGAAAATTTTGCAAAAAACAATTAATAAACAACAAACGAAGCCAAAGTATAGCTTGTAAAATTCAATTTAAATTTCAATAAACGTCTCGCGAGTGAGTCAAGAGGAGCGAAGAAAAGAAAAGAGGGTAAAAAGGAAAACATTTCACTTTCCGGCCGCCGCAATTCAGAAACGCGAGCGCAAACAATGCCAGATAAAGCTGCGCAGCCTCTGAGAGAAACCCCGTCCATTCAGCAACAGCTAAAGACGCACATAAAACACCCAAGAGAGTGAGTCGAGGTGCGCGCGAGGGAGTAGTTAATACACAAAGGGGGAAAGAGGAAGAAGGAGAAAAGACGCTTGGACGTTTATTGTGTGCATCTGTACTCGTATACGTACATGTCGAGGTTTGCAAGTGAGGAGAAGAAAACGAGGGAAATGCAATTATCCTACGCCCGGTAAGAGACTCGGTTAATTAATCCTAGACTGCGCGAGTCAAATCAGTTTGACGCCCACCGCCGAGTTGCCACGCTAATTAGGAGTACATTGAATCTTAGGCGAAGGCGGCAGGTGCGCGAGCTCGTGTCTAGTGTTCCAGGACCTGTTGGAGTCTAGATACTCTGGATTCTTGGATCCTACATGTTTTGTACAGGCAAGCATTTATTTTTACACTCGTACAAATGTATTCTCAAGTTGCTTGAAAAAAAAAAAAAATTATTAATAATGCATGATTTATTTTAATGGAGATTTTTGTTTGTCTAGGTTTCGTATGGTCAGTCAGTCACAGGAATTACAAGTGGCATAACAATAGATTTTTAAAGTCAAACAATTTATAATTTTTGTTTGCAAAATGTTTTTATTCAAAAAAATTTCATTGTTTGGTTGGACGATGCATTCAGTAATAAGTCACTTGAGAATTAAAAAAAAAAAAAAAACAAGCATTTGAAATAGTAAATGGACTTTTACTTTGCGAGTAGAAAAAGGTAAAATATTTAATAATGTTGAATATGAATTTATTGTCTAAATAAAGGTTTCTTGAATTCGTCATTGAAATAATAATCATAAAGAGTGGTAATAAAATAACCAATTATTATTTTTATTTTTACTGACTCTTTCGAAATTAATCATCAGTCTAATTCAAAACAAATTCAAATGAAACAAAAACCAATATGATATCCCAATCTTGAAACGAAGATTCAACGCCATCGGCTACTTGAATGCTTGCAAAACCAAAAGATTCACAGCTACGATTTCCGTAAAAAATTAAGTATCGAATAGTATCACCAACGTAATTTTATTCGAACAAAACGGAGCCTGATTTCAAGTGGAGCTTTAACGATAATTGGGTGTCGTTTCATTACTGTTTAAAAATGAGGGGAGTAGGGAGTGCTCCTCTTTTTTTTTTCATGAAAAGGCGAATAAACGAAAGACGAAGATGAGGAGGCTCGTGTTAACGGGACGCGCGCACGAGTGACAGAAAAGAAAGAAAAACGAAGGCGCGTGAGGCTACTCGCTTGCAAGCTGTTCCCCTCTGCTCTTTGTCGGGAGATCGGTGATTCCGATGTGCTTGTATAACTTTGATGAATGGTGTTGCCTCGCGGCGTTCGGGCTGCAGATGAATCGATTCGATTTTGTCAGGACATGCTTGTCGATGTAAATTTTCGAGGTGTTCTATCTTACGATTACTCAATGTGTACAATGAAACTTTATTTTTAATGTATTATTTTAACGCTCGATATCCGTCCATGTCTATTTCAATTAGTTATATGTTAAGTTATCCAAAAATTAAAAATAATTTTTTAACATTGCCATTGATATATGTACTGCGTTTGTTGCATGCTGAGTAGATTTCAGTTCCACATTTAAAAAAATTTCCTTCATTGATAGTTGCTCGGTTATTTATTAGGATAAATAAAAAATAATCATTTAAGAGTCCTCTCATTTTTAATTTCATTCGATTTCAGAGAACGTCACTTTCATATCTCTTGTATATAACGGCGATAGTCAGTATCAAGTATCAAATCAACAAGGTTTTGTCAGACTATCATTCGACCAATCGATTTGTTCAAGCCATCAGCCAGAAGTTAGCAAATTCATCACCATCATGTGAACACTGACAAAGAAACCCGTACCGTTACAGAGACGCTCCCATATAACTTTATATCAATTACCACGGAATAACTAACGATGCATCATAAATTTTGTACCCAATCACTTGAGTCCCAGCGTCGTCGTCGTCGAAAAGACAACATTATTATCCACAGCTCTCTCGGCGACGCGTTGTTATCGCGATCTGAGCAGCCGATCGATCCAAACGATCGTTAAAAAAGCACTGCCGACCGATTCACCACTCGAAAGCTCAGCAGAGTCGGGCGCCCTGGTTGATCATTTGTAAGCGCAGCTCCTAATAATCCTTGCGCGAAAACAGCGATTATGACTGCTCGGAAGGAGAATGGCAGCTCTCAAGAGTTTCCGATTCGCACGTCACTAGACTCGCGTGAGCACAAACGAGACATTACGCATTGTAACCGCGCCGATTTTAATGACGCTCCTCCCCTCATGTTCTCTTGTCAGTCGAAAAGTGTATTCAGGGGGGGGGGGGGTCGAGTTGGATGAGCTAAGCAAGATTTCACTCGACGTTTCTCGAGATACTTGTATACGTATGAAGAGGATTTGTACGGCAATGGCAGTGCGAGGGTGAAAAGCTTTTGTGCTGCACTGGGTTGCCATGTTGCTTTTATTGTCGTTGTTGCTGGTGAGCTGTCACTCACACAAGTGCTCCAGTGCAGGTAATTGCTCGCACCGTGACAGGTGCGTGAATATGAATGCACACATGAGTTGGTTTCTCAATTCTTGTTACTGTTAAGTTGGTTTTATTTGACAATCATTTGATTGTATGCACGTGTTTTGCTTTTTTTTTCCGAAGATCAAAACTACATTGGACTTTAGATTATCAAAAAATTCAAACTAGCAAAAAAGAGGAGAGATGGAAAATCTTAACTTAACATCACACTTTGTTTTACTGTTCCATCTCGTGAAACAAAAATGAAAATATAAATAGCAAGCGGCGGCCCTTAATGCTATGAAACTAATAATGAAGAAAGCGCCAACTCACCATGTAGATCAGCGTGCTGAGTAGTCTCCACAGCCCAGGCATCCTGGATTTCCCAGCCTCTCCACGCTAAATCACGCTATTCTGTAACCAAACAAACAAACAATCGTTAGATAAACAAAAAAAAAAAAAAAAAAAAAGAAAAAAAAAAGGAAGCAAACACGCAAGGAAAACACCTATTTCATTTTTCCTGTACAGTTTTTTCCTCTTTCGCGAGAATCCTTCTGCATTGCTAACCCGATCGATTTTTCCCTTCCCTTATCTTTTATTTATCCGCAAGATCGGAGCACGGAGCTCCCCGTCCATACCGTGGATATCAATTTCGCGCAACGTTATCTCAGCTCCGATCTTAATGAACCACACATATAACGCATGTGTCCCCGACGCATGTTCAATTATTCGCGCTCTCTCCCGTTGCCGGAACGGATTCGCGTGTTTACAAATCGCTCGCGCGAGGTAAAGCATGACCCGTGTAATGCGCACTATCGCGAGGTGATCGTCGAATTAGAGACCGGATAGTGCAAATCGAAATGAAAGAAGCTCGTGTTTTTCACCTCCTGCCGTATATTACACTTGCGTAATGTGTAAGAGGCACTTTGGTAATGCGCGCAAATTACAGAAGTTGTTTCGCAACCCGTGTATGGTTTCCTCAATTTACGCGGCCTTGATGACTCACTTTTATCCTGTCGCTCCTTTTTATTGTATTTCATTTTTTTTTGTTTTTTTTCGCACATCAATCATAACACTGTCACCACAACAGCGTAGCCGACAATGTAAAAAAGTAACCACCGACCACCTGAACCGCGATATCTAAGTTCATCCCTGCTTTCTCGATTACACTCCTCTCCTCCTCTTTTGCTCCACGATACCTTTCCTCGATTTTCTCGTGTACAGCCCGAGCGAGATCACATAATTACAGGGGAAGCGGGTAGATACAGAAGAAGGTAACCACAGGCGAGCCGTTTGCCGATGCGACGCGCTGCGCAACTTTTGATGGGTGGTTCCGCTGTCGTCGCTCGCGATGATACGCATCATTAATTAGGAGGGGCCGCAGCAGCATCACGTTAGTCTCTCGTTCCTTTTTGCCGTTTTTTACTGCATTACTTACAGCTGGGACGGTATTTTGCACAAAGGGCGGGCTTTTTTATTCCGGAGTATGCGGAAAAACGGTGCATCCCCGGGGATCTAAATAAAACCATATCGCGCGAGCAGATTAGATTACGAGCTCGGGAATTTGAGCGCAGTTTTTTTTTAACGATCCAAGGCAATTAATTGCACAGAATCTGAGTATTAACGATGCTCCGCGGGACGCAAGAACTGCAGATGGTTATCGCGAGCGACTTTGTCGATGTTTACGAGTTGATTGCCGGCGAGTGAGAGCTGAGAGACAATAGTCGCATGCCGTGCTTACTTCGAGGCTGTGAGCCCGCAACTTGAAAGTAAGGATCGTCGTTTGCGATTTTAGGTGGATGAAAAGGTAATAGTTATTACTCGAGCACGAAAAAACGATATTCTCCAGATCAATCATGCCAATGTGTTTTGTTCGTGTAGAGATAATTTTATTACCAACGCTGATGAAGATACAAGAACACGAATTGATTAAAAATATAAATTATGGTATCGACGAGCGTAACAAATTTCAGCGATATTGTAAATCGAGTCTATTAAAACGATAATTGCGGTATTTGGTAATGATAACTTATATAGTTGGATACCAGGTTTACGCATGAATTTATTTTTATTTACAATTGCAAAATGACTACATTTTTTCTTGTACTGATTGGCTATCTAGTTTTTCCAGGTGCATGCAGAGAGAAATAAAAAAATAATTGACTACTGAAAGTCTTGGCTATACCGGAAAGTTTAATTGAAAACACGATGTCACACTATGCTGACAAAAATCCCTTGCCTTTGGAGTTTTATCATATACAGAAGCACGAGTGGGTGAGTGTGATTTGTATAATAGGATTTTTAGATTTGTCAGATTTTGTTAATTTATTTTTCGTACTTTTGTGTAGAGAGAGAAAAAAATTACAATTTCAGCAGACACTCTAAACACATGTACCTTACAGGAATACACATCAGTCGATCATTTAATTATTCCACTACTAAAGTATAGATACTCAATTTGATAAGTTACTCAAAACAGCGAAACATTACTGAACGAACAACAAATATTATAAATTCGTCCGTCAAACACAAGATCGTCCCGAAGCTCTCTTAAACTCCCTCATCATTGCATTAACATTGACGTCCGTGGCCAAGTTTAGCGCCCCGCAAAACATAAATCGAATGAGCTACTCTATCGAGTTTGCGACTTATCGCTCTTGTTTTGCTAGCGCCGAGTTGTAAATCGAGTAAAGTAGTTCGGGGCTTGATTTTTACGCGCCGCTGTAACTCGTTCGAATTAGTTTATCACCCTTGTATACGTAATATGCGGGTACCATTTTCCTTCTCTCTGAAACGCGGGAGTAAATACCGGTTATGTAGCAGCAATGCTAAATATCGCCCAATCGAGCACTTGGCAAATCTATGGCGATCGTGATCGATGGATCAATCGATTAATTAATTCTATGGCTTTTAGGGTGATGTTTAGATCATACCCTACTCTCTTGCATTACAATACTCGCGAAACCAGTTACTCACAATTTGCTGCTCGAGCCCACAAAGCATCTCGATTACATTATCAGTGATATATTCACAATGGCTTGCGCCCGATAAGTTTCACTAGCCATTAGAGTATCTTTCGCAAGTGAACGACAAAAGCAAAGACCAGCCGATTTTTCCCCAATTAATGCTACTGCATCTCGAGCCGGCGCCACATATCATTCGAGATTTCTCTCCACTTCTTCCTTCCCGGAGATAATCCAAAAGAAAGAAAACAAAAAAAAAAAAAAAAAAAAATGAAAGAACCACGGTCGGCACGTGCGACAAAATCGGCACGGCATTTTTCCACTTCACGTGCTTGAAAAGCGCAATAACACGCTGGCTATCATCTCACGGGGAGCGAAAAATAAAAATAATGGAAAAAAAAGAGGGAGGAATCTTTTCCTCCCATTTTTGCTCCCGGAACGTGAGAGCACTTTGCTCTCGCGTCGTCTCACCGCAAACGCACACACGAGAACTCGCGCACATGGTGGTACATAAGCGACGAGGCACATGAATTCGCAATTTGTTAAAGCACAGTTATGCTCGCTCTCTCTCTCTTTCTCTCTCTCTCTCTCTTCCTTCTTTCGTTCTCCTGCCTGGGTAATGTATGAAGTGGCTTCGCGCCGCCGCTATTACTTGGCTGCTCTCTGCCCCTCTTTTACTCTCTCTCTCTCTCCCTCTAAATGCTTCATCATGTACGCATTCGCACTCTCGAAGTACTTGTGTATATATGCACACGAGATAGAGAGAGAGAAGTGGTATCGGTATCACCGATGTACGTGTGCATTGTACGGCTCAGCCGCTGAGGTTGTTATTAATAACGAGAAGCCGCGCGAAAGAGGCGTGTAGAATTTATTTTTCCAAGTGAGTGTGGTCCAGTCCGGCTCGGTGCTCGTAAAAATGTTGCAGATTTACAATCAGTACTACCTATTATGTAGGTAATACCACCTGGTTTTAACAAATGTGGGTATAGATCCGTCGCATAAGTGTTTGTTATTGTTCGGTTTTAGAAGTCACACCGTTAGACAATGTTTCTTGTCAAAACTAATTCCAGGATTATTCAAACACATAAACTAATGGTTGGGATGGATTGAGACTAGTAATCAAAATACTTTCAAAAGCAGGGTAATTGTAATATCCATGCTACATATATACATGGGCATAAAAAAAGTATTTGGGTCGGATTCAATAAAAAACGTTCCAATCGCTTGCTCTGGCTACCACTGCTGCTGTTTGCTAGTGGTCAAGTACATTTAGCCAGATTATCGCTGGTGAACGAACATGCCCCGAGAGATAGGGTTAATGTAGAAATGATAAGGTATAAGGCTGCCTTGTGAAACTCCAATCGAAATTATAACAGTAAACAGCAGCAGTAGTAGCGGGGATTATAATTATCCGGAATTTCGTGCTTTGGTGTAACAATCATAATGAATGTCTAATGGGCGTAGGGAATATCGATGCAAACGGATCGTGAGCCTGTGTGGACATTAAGAGTGACTAATTTTCACTAGATTGAATACAATTTTTGCATTTTGAACGGTCTGTTTCGCTACTTAGATTCGTGAGAATGTGTCTTTGCCAAACTTGTCTGTTACTACTTATTTTAATCACAGGAAAAGGTTTGTCTTTCCAGAAATGTCTGATACTACTTTTTTACGATAGAAAAATATGTGTCAACATAATTATTCATGGCTATTCATCTTTATCCAGACATAATATATTTATGCCTAAGGATTTATTTTTACAATGCCATGTGCATATTACGATCCATTTTGAAAGAAAAAAAATGTCTTACCTTAACTGTCTATTACTACTTATTTTTGAAAAATTTTATAGAGTTCATTTTTAATAAATTGTCTGTTTCTATTGTTTTGTATGGGATAAAAAGTTGGTCTTGAGGAAACCATCAATCACCATTTACGTAATAAAAAACGGTGTCTTAACTAATTTGTCTGTTACTACTGATCCTCATGAAAAGAAAGAGTTGTTTGCGTGGTAATAAACTTTATTTTTAGAAAACAGTCAATCACTACGTTTTTAAAAAAAAAGGAATACTCCGTCACTAGTCAGACTAATACTAGCTTATGCAAAATATGAAATTAAGCCTTCATTTAACTGCTTGATTCTAATTCTTTATAAAATTTTGTCAAGATAAGACTATTAATTACTACTTATTTTTTAGGAAAAAAAAGATGTGTGTCTCAAGTAATCTCTTTTTTATTACTTAAAGTAGGAACTTGTCTTAACTTATCTGTCTGTTACTACTCCTGTATTACTTCATTACGTAGGGAAAAACTTGTCTTGAGAAAACCATTAATAACTACTTACGTATTAACTTATCCCTTCATGACTAATTATTTTCAAGAAATAAAAGAGCAAGTCATAACTGAAATATA